TTTATGCTGGGAAAAGGCTGTAGAAATGAAGAGCAGAGTCGGCTCCCTAACAGCTTCAGATATAATAATATGAAGGAAATAGTAAAATGTATTTAGAACACTTAAATATTTTTTAGAGATCTAGAAACCACAGTGGAAGAACAGGATAGGAAGCGAGAAGAGCAGAGAGTTCTGAAAAAGAATCATATAAAACCTTAGGAAACGAAATATAAAGGCATTGAGATGAAAATCTCCTATGGTGAACAGCATGTTAAACCAGCTCATGGAGAATATGTAAGCTATACAACTGATCTGAAGACATCCATCACAGAGAGATGCAGGTCAGCACACAATGGGAGGGAGAGAGCTGGAAGACAGTGTGAGAACGCCTGGTACGTGCATGTAATGGGAGAGCCAGGAGGAGTTATTTCCTGAGAGAGAATTTGGAAGGAGATGTTGACTGAGAATTGCCAGAATTGATGGAAGACGTAAGTCTCAAGCTGGAAGAAGCATTTCAAAGTGCTGAACAAGAAAAACTGTTAGCCTTCTACGCAGACTGAGTTAATGAGGGCTCTCTCACCGCAAATACATGAAACCAACATTCAAGGGGGAGAGTGGAATGAAAACATGTTCATTCACACAAAGCCGAAGGTAACTCACCGTCACTAAACCACCAAAAGACATGCTTTGATGAGAAGAGAAATGAATCTCCGAGGAAGCCTCAGTGAGTAAAATCAATTTGTTAAAACATACATGAAAACCTAATTAGTCACTGACTATTAAAAACCCAGCAACAACAATAATTACAATGACAAGTTCAATCTTGGGGTCAAGCACAACTAAAATACTAATCAGCAGTGGTGTGGACTGTTGGAGCAGGTTTATGGGATGTACTCGGGGTTTGTGTAACATCCCGGAGAAGCACAGAGAGAATCAGTTTCATAATCTCACAAGTCAGGTGGGCATATTGAAATTTTACATGTAACCAGTAAAAATAAAGACTAAAAATGTATAATTTTCTAACATGTAAATGTGGAAAAAAGAAGAACATATAAACTAACCAACAAAACAGGAACTGAGAAAAATTTAAAGAAAGGTCATGAAGAACAGAAAAGACAAAATTGGGTGGTAGGAATGAACGGATAATGATGATAGACACAACTGGATTACAGTAAGGATTTAAAAGACGAGACAGAACATAGAAAATTTTATAAAGTTATTAAAATCAATTAAAATAAAAACTCTAGGTAGTAGGAATGCATATATATGCAATATAAGTATAAAAATAGAAAAACAAGATATTATAAAATCAGGATTCAAGATGATGTTCCTTTAACTGGGAAACTGAGGTGCTGGATGAGAGGTGCTAAGTGATCAGATGACACAGGCGTTTTTCAAGGTCTTAACTTCTCTTTTGTGTTTAATGGCACATTAATGAGTGCTAAGTACTAAATTAACTACCTAAGTTACCAAACTCATAAAGCATGGCATTCATGGACCAGTGACAACAGTGTGTCATGACTCCTATCAAAGATTACAATTAATCTAATTCTGTACACAGGATATCCAAAAGAAATACTTTTTTTTAAAAGGATGGGAAAGAGGTAACAGGCTAATATTCTCTTAAAAATTTTAGACCAGGAGCACCTGGGTAGCTCAGTTGGTTGAGCATTCGACTTTGGCTCGGGTCATGATTTCACAGTTCATGAGTTCGAGTGCCACATTGGGGTCTCTGCTGTCAGTGTGGAGTCTGCTTGGGATTCTCTCTCCCTCTCTCTCTCTCTCTCCCCCCCCACTTATGCTCCTTCTCTCTCAACAGTAAACATTAAAAAATGATTTCAGATGAGCTACATTAATATCAGCAACATAAGCTTATTAGAGATAAAAAAATAAAAGGAATAATTCCACAAGAAGACACAATTCTTGAACTTCTATAAAAAGCAACACTGACACACTACAAGGAGAAGTGTGTAAGTCCCCTCCCATAGCAAAGCTGTAACACACCCTCCCAGCAATCAATAGATGAAACAGACAAAAACTTAGCAAAGATGTAGATTTTTAACAGTACAATTAAACTTGAAAAACTAGTATTTTAACAATAAAAATGTGTTGACAATATTCCAACAACAGAAAATCATTCATGATAAAGAATTCTTGCAAATGAAGAATGGGTGGGAATATTCTTAATGTTATGTGGATAATTATCAGAAAATGTGACTTTTGCCAAAACATTAGATGCATCCTTCAAAATCAGGAATAAGATAAGGATGACTATTAGTATGATTTCTGCTCAACACTGTGCTGGAGAGATTGGCTAGGGCACCAAAGAGAAACGAGCGAAAGGAGAAGTAAGTACTTTAGTACTCCTTATTCACAAGAACAGGATTATAGAAAAGTACAGGTATGCTTGGCTCTCAAGCAGAGCTGGAGAAACAAATACAGAGGAGCAGGGTTACAGATGGAACCCAGGTCCCCGTGCGCTCATATTAAAGCCTGAACCCCCGGGGCGCTGGGGTGGCTCAGTCAACTCTGACTCTTGATTTCAGCTGAGGTCATGATCTCACATTCTGGTTCATGAGGTCCAGCCCTGCATCTGGCTCTGTGCTGACAGCGTGCAGCCTGCTTAGGATTCTCTCTCTCCCTCTCTCTGCCCTTCTCCCTGCTCTCTTTCTCTCTCAGTAAATTAAAACTTAAAGCCTGAACTCCACAATGTGATGGCATTTGGAGATGGGGCCTTTGGACACAATAGGGTCAGGTGAGGTGATGAGGGTGGCGACTAGTGAGATTAGTGTGCCCTTTTAAGAAGACACCAGAGAGCGTGCTCTCTGCCTCTCCGCCTCTGGGTCTGTCGCTCTCTCCCTCTCCCAGCTCCATCCCCACCTCTCCCTGGCACAAGCCAGAAGGAGGCTCAGAGTGGACCACACCTCTGCTGGCAGCCCTACCCTGAACTTCCAGCCTCCCCCTCAAGCCCTGAGTAGTGAAGGCAGCCTAGCCCACTGGAGGACGAAAGTGGGCAGGACGGGAGCACTCCTAGACGGATTCCGTTGACAGACTGTTGCAGATTCATGTTCCACATGAACTAAGTGATGAACCGTATGTGCGGGAAAGGGGGAATTGTACTCAAGACACAAGTCTTTACTTTTTAATTTTAACTTACTTTTTTTTTCAGTTCCCTAATGCAAATATTGATCTACTTTTTTTATTTATTTTTTTTTATGTTTTTTATTTATTTCTAGGAGAGAGAGAGAGAGAGACAGCGCGAGCAGGGGAGGGTCAGAGAGAGAGGGAGTCACAGACTGAAACAGGCTCCAGGCTCTGAGCTGGCAGTCAGCACAGAGCCCGACGCGGGGCTCGAACCCACGAACCGCGAGATCATGACCTAAGCGAAAGTCGGACGCTCAACCGACTAAGCCACCCAGGCGCCCCGATCTACTTTTTTTAAAAAAATGTTTATTTTTAAGAAAGAGACAGAGCATGAATGGGGAGGGGCAGAGAGGGAGACACAGAATCTGAAGCAGGCTCCAGGCTGTCAGCACAGACCCTGATATGGGGCTCAAATTCATGGACCACGAAGTTAGACATTTAATTGACTGAGCCACCTGGGTGCCCCATATATATATTTTTAATGTTTTTATTTACTTTGAGAGAGAGAGAGAGACAGAGCAGGGGAGGGGCAGACAGAGGAAAGAATCTCAAGCAGGCCCTACACCATCAATGCAGAGCCCGATGTGGGGTTCAAACCCATGAATGGTGAGATCATGACCTGAGCTGACATCGGAAGTTCAACTGACTGAGCCACCCAGGTGCCCCAATACTGGTCTACTTTTAAGTCCATGTGACAGAGGTCTGTAATAATTTTTTTTTTTATATTTTTATTTATTTCGAGGAGAGAGACAGACAGCGTGAGCAGGGGAGGGTCAGAGAGAGAGGGAGATACAGACTCTGAAATAGGCTCCAGGCTCTGAGCTGGCAGTCAGCACAGAGCCCGACGCGGGGCTCGAACCCACGAACCGCGAGATGATGACCTAAGCAAAAGTCGGATGCTTAACTAAGCCACCCAGGCGCCCCTGTAATAATTTTTTTTAACAGTGATTAAAGAAAAAGTCTCACAAAAACCTTAATTTACAAGCAAGTCTCTCACTGCCATACAGCCCTCCTTTTCTATAGTGTGTTCACGTTTAGTAATAATGTCACCTTCTCCTCCTCTGATGTGCACTTTGACCCCAGCGTCCCTCCACACCACCACCGGCTGCAGCTCCTCAGCAGTCCTGCACGGCGCAGGCATGGGGGGGCCGGAGCATCTGGTTCTGTGCCCTGACCTGCACCCGGCCAGTGCGCCCATCCCCGCTGCCGTGAGCACTGGCTGCAAGGGGCTCACAGCCGCTGCTTCTCTGAATAGTTGCCCTTGGATGAGGGCAGCCCTAGATCTGCGAGTGCACACGAGGTAAGCTCTGTTCCAGAGGCCCTTCCTCCAAATTAGGCTGCAGCTGGACTCTGAGGCCACGGCTTGCGCAGCCCTTTCCTCCTCGGCGTCCCGCTTCCCCGGCTGCAGGGCCCGTTTCCAGCTGTTAGTGCTCAAGTAAATCCCCTGGGCCCCCATCCCTGCCCGGCTCCGCTTCTCCACAATCCAATCCAAGTGACTTCTCCCAGGACCCCCCCTTCCACAATCCACGGAGACGGAGAGGGACTCCATCGCAGGGGACCTGGCTCCCGGTCCTCAGCCTCCCCGCTGCACCAGGCAGTGTGGAGACATAACAAGGGAGGGGGACAGGTCACGTTAATAGTTGAATTCTTTTTTTGTTTGTTTGTTTGTTTGTTTGTTTATTTCTAGGAGAGAGAGAGACAGCATGAACAGGGGAGGGTCAGAGAGAGAGGGAGTCACAGACTGAAACAGACTCCAGGCTCCGAGCTGGCAGTCAGCACAGAGCCCGACGCGGGGCTCGAACCCACGAACCGTGAGATCATGACCTAAGTGAAAGTCGGACGCTTAACCGACTAAGCCACCCAGGCGCCCCAATAGTTGAATTCTTAAACCTGAACTCACTCAGGACATGGCAGTCAGTGACAACAATGTACCCGGCAACAGCGAATCCTCAGACCGTTTCTGTATTTCACACTAACATTTCTACCAAATGATCCCAGAGTGTATCTTCAAGCCTACAATGATGTGGAAATTCATCTTGGGCTTCTCAGAAGCAGAACCTTCCATGACAGCGCGAGGGAAATGGATGGCCTGGCTCAGGCTGGTGCTCCGTGGAATCTGTGCTTTAGGTAGTTTTTCTCCCTCTGACAGGATCTTTCTGTTTTATTCCTTGGGTCACAGCTGGCACATGGCAGTTGTTGAATAAACATTTGTCAAATGAATAAAAGACAAAGGACTGAAACCAATTCTGCGGCTCTGGTCTCAAACAACTGGCCCAGGGATGGGCACAGAAGGCACACAGTGCCCGATGGAACTGGCCCCCCTGGACACTCGTCCAACAACCCGATAGGACTTGAAGGGTCTGAAGGCCGGAAAACAGAGACACAGAAACCCAAACTGTGTAGACACTAGAGCGCAGTCCAGTAGAATCCTCGACGTCTCAGGTGCCCCGAGCACGAATGCTGGGGGCAGCCGTCGAGAAGCCAAGAACAACTGACCCACAAGCTGGATGCCGACAGTGGAGGCTCCTCACCCCCTCCTCTGTCCTTGCGACGTGAGCTCTCGCTGACTGCCCTGCTCCCAGAAGCTGCTCCAAGGACAGCGAGCGTGACGGGAAACAGGGCACCTGGGCTGCACGCGTGACTGCAGCCTGGTAAGGCCCCTACGTAAAGCTGTAAGCTCTGTGGGCAGGTGCCGAGACCTACACATTTTGCTGCGCCCGGAACAAGCCTCACAGGTAAGCCTCCTTTGCTTCTTAAAACTGCCCCCTACCCTCTTTCTCTGGTCTCTCCCTGCCCCCCAAAATAAGGGGCAGCCTCACGTGACACCTGGGAAGCTCCCAAGGACCTTGTGAAACAACAGATTTCCACCTCGCAACCCAGCAAAGTCCCAAGAAAACACCCCCTAACCCCCGTCTTTTTACCAAAACATCAGGCTCTTTCTGCCACATCTGACTGTACTGTCGCTCACACACCTGTACAGGTGCCTCCCAGGGCTCCTCCGCCGTCAGACCACGGTGCTCCTCCTCCTTTCAGCTGGGGGAGGACAACAGGTGTGGAAAACAGAAATGTGTCCGCAGAGAAGAAACAGACCACAGAAGGGATCAGTACTGCACTTCTGCGCGGACTTCCTCTTTATAGTTGAAATATACAAGGAAACTGGGTAGAATGAAAGCAAAGACATTTCTCGCCTTCTCATAATCACCCCTCACACAGCCCTCTGTGGCAGAGCAGCATCACGGGCGCTGCCACACCACCGCACCTCTTACCTGCGGTTATTATCCCACCTCTTTAAAAAACGGAATGACAAGTGAAAAGTAGACTGTAGCTAGACAGACTCTGCACGTACCAGAAAAAGTCTGGAAAACACACAGCAATTTAACAAGTGTGGCTACTCCCGGGCAATAAAATTTGGAGAACTTTCATGTTTTACCATATAAACTTCTTTACTATTTGCATTTTTTACTATCAGCATGAATTCTGAAAGAAACCCAACCTTGGGGCGCCTGGGTGGCTTAGTCGGTTAAGCGTCCGACTTTCGCTCAGGTCATGATCTCACGGTTCGTGGGTTCGAGCCCCGCGTCGGGCTCTGTGCTGACTGCGGGCTCAGAGCCTGGAGTCTGTTTCATTCTGTGACTCCCTCTCTCTCTGACCCTCCCCTGCTCACGCTCGCTCTCTCTCCTAGAAATAAATTGAAAAAAAACATTAAAAAAATTTTTTTTAAAAACTGTGGCTAGTTCTTATTTCAGGGACGCGGTATCCTTTTGAGTCTCTCTTCGTGGATGCTAATTAGAAATTTTAAAATTCCCTTTTGTTTCCTGCATTAATCCTGTTTCATCGTGGATTAGTGGAGCACCGGGTCATCTTGGAGATGTGATTTCAGGACTTAACTGCCCCAAAAAACCACTTTTTCTGTCGATAAGTATGTTTTTACCCATGTCTGATGAAGTGGCCTGAAGTGGCCCCGGCAGCTGCCACGGCACTTTTCTCTCTAACCCAGGGCCCGACGGCTTTTCTGTGGACGTTTTCCGCAGAACAGCCACGCGGCCCCTGCCACCCATGGTGGCAGGAGAGCCACATGGGGGGCAAGCAGGTGTGGGGTGCGGGCGGGTCCCCGCAGAGTGGTGCCCACCATGGGGCCTCCCGCCAGCCCGTGGAGGGAGCGCCTGGGGGCGCCCCCACCCCCACTTTACTGGACCAGTTGTTTGCACCTGCTGTGCCCAGCCCCGACTAGGGCCCCCCGGGCAGAAGCGGGGACAGGCCAGTTCTCTGTGTCCCCAGCAGCTTTCTCTCTCCCCAAATTCTAGGGTTTGGGGGTTGTTGATTTCTGTATTTTTAAATCATTTACATGGGATCCGGGGAGAAAATCCAGAACAGCCTGTGAGGTCCGACCCCCAGCCCGACCAGTATGCCTCCTGGAACACTTTAGTTTTTACTGAAAAGCATCATTTTATTGGGGCACCTGGGTGGCTCAGCCTGACTCCTGATTTTCGCTCNGGATGGAGGGAAGGGTGGATGGGTGGGTGGATGGGTGGAGGGGTGGGTGGGTGGATGAGGGGATGGATGGGAGAGAGGGAGAGAGGGATGAAGGGATGGAAAGGATGGAGGAATGGACGGATGAGAGGATGGACTTACTCAGATGTGCTTCCTGAAGGTAGAAGAATGAGAAACATGGCTGGAAAATAAAAGTCCAAGTTCATGGTGAGAGGAGGAAGAAACAAAGGAATTGACAGGAAAGATGTTCATAAAAGAGGAAAATGAAATCAAAGGAATTTAATCTGATGAGGTTACTGGAGCCAGAGGAAGATCTACAGAGCACATTTACTTAAAAAAAAATCTTTTTAATTTAAGTCAAGACATGTGTTCCAAGTGGCAGAAATCATGATGACTGCATGATTGCCAGGGTAGACGAAACAGAGGCAGGAGGCAGAGCGGCAAGGGGCATCGTGGCTTTGATACACTGACGACGAAGTGAAAATGCAAACAGCAGACGTCTCTGCAGACTGACTGTTAGATGGTTAACAAAAAGTCGGGCAGAGGCTACGCTGTACCGGTGAGAAAAGGGACAGAAGCTGAGCCAACTGTGGCAGGGAGAACGAGAGCAGGCCGGCAGCCGGCACAGCCCCGAGTGCCCAGGCCTGCACCCGCCACTGAACGACACACCAGGAAACACCATACTGATTCCACAAGTTTCCCCACCAGTCTGCCACCTACTGCACGGTGCTCACCCCTTTCTACTGCAAACGTAAACCCCAATCAGCAAGGGCGACCTGAAGAACAGCGACCATTTACTAAGCAAAATGACAGCCAAGTGCTTTTCATCAGTTGTCTGTGTTCCGTGCTCACAACTACCTTCTACGGTACATACTTGTGTTGTCTCCCTCCCCGAGTCACATGGTGAAACCCTAACTATATTTAGAAATGGGACCTTTTAGGAAAGTAACTATGGTAAGTAAGAGTGGGGCCCTAATCTGATAGGACTGATGTCCTTATGAGGAAATGACCAGAGCCTTCTCTCTCTCTCCCAACAGACATGTACACAGAGAAAGGCATGTGTGAGAACAAAGCAAGAAGGTGACCGTCAACAACCCAGGAAGGCAGGTCTCCCCGGAAACCAAGCCTGCTGGTACCTTGATCTTGAAGATCCAGCCTCCAAGATAAAATGTGATAAAATGAATGTCTGCTGTTTCGGCCACCTGAAATGTGTGCCTTTCTATTACAACAGCCCGAGCAGACTAAGGCAATACTATTATCAACCCCATTTTGGAGATGAGGGAACCAAATGGTTAAATACATCTGCCCATGTACAAGCGTGGCTTCTAAAAGGCAAAGCCACAATCTGAACATATCACACCCATTCTGTAAAGCTGCACTCCACAGTGATTCCTGAAAGTCTTCCTAAGGTACCACGTGCCAGAAGACCAGAGAGATGCCAGGATGGTTCGCAGGCGGAGCCTGAACGCAGGGGAAGGGGCCAAAGTGCTGGGCCCTCGGCAGCTGGAGCACTGACCTTACCTGGTTCCCCAGGTCTGGGCTTTGCATCTGTTTTTGCTTGACAAGGGGGGATGTGTTCAACCCCAGGAAAGTCTTGTCCCTCACCTGTCTCTCCAGTAGGGTGGGACTCTTGGGAAGTGTCACGTGTGAGCTGGGGCTCCTCAGGCTGGGGCTGAAGGCTCAGTGACGTCTGCTCGCCTTCAGGCACTATCTCTCTAGAGCAGACTTCTCATCCCTGTCTGTAGGCTGCCATCTGGAACAGAGAGATGGCATTGACTTCTGAAGAAGTTAACGGTCTAAAGAAACCCTTCCCGGAAAGCAACAGGAAGCAGGTTCAGGCTCAGGGTCAAAGTCGGTCAAGGGGATACAAAACAAGGGATCCAAGGGTCTTTGATGACACACATACACTTTTTCCCTGCAAACCTCCGTCCTACCTCAAGTTGTGGTTCATCGAGCTCTTTCTCCAGATCCTCCAGCAAAATCACAGCCTCTTCCCCGCTCTCCAGATGGTGCTCCCACACCCGGGCCTGGAGCTCGGCGGGCAGGATGGTCAGGAACTGCTCCAGCACCAGCAGCTTCTGGATCTGCTCCTTGGTGCGTGTTTCTGGGCTCAGCCACTGGCGGCACAGCTCCCAGAGATGGGTGAGGGCCTCCCTGGGCCCAGGGGTCTCCTGGTAGCACAGCTGTCGAAAGCGCCTTTGGAAGACTTCCCTTGCCAGGGGACTGCTACGTTTCAGTCTGGATGCCTGCATCCAGAGGTGACTTTCTGTCTCCACCTTCACTGTCAGTTCTTCCCAAACCTCAGGAGCTTGCACATCCATGGGCAAAACCTCCTTAGAGTCTGTATTCATCTTGACTTTGAACAGTTTACGAAGCACCCTCCAGCTGGAGTCGTGTTTCAGAAACACCTTCGGAGGCTCCCTCCTAAGCAGTAAGAATCACCGTTTATACAGAAAAATGACACCATCTAGTGACAGGCATTGATGCCATAAGCAACTGTCATAGACCCCAAGGCTCTTCACTGACAGTAAGGTCACGTGGTGACCAAAGGATGGAGATAATGGAAAATATAAGGTCACAATGTGCAAAAGGCACAGGCTGTCAAGTTACCCAGAACTGAATTCTATTGTGGTTACAGCATTTACCAGTTTACTGATTGATTGTGTGACTTTCAGCCAATTTCTTATCTTCTTTCAATCTCAGTCTCAATGTAAAGAAACAGCAATAAAAAAATACCTTACAGAGCTCACGGAGAAAAGCGGGACCACACAATTCGGTCAGAATGGTTAAAAAGTTCAGGCTCATGTTTAAAAAATCAAATCAGAGAAAGTAAATGAAAATACTGTTCTTATCTTTGATTAATGAATGAGCTAACTCTCATTGGACTCTTAACTATAGTTTCGAAAATTAGTCTTGAAAACAACCATTTCGAGTTGTCACTCGAGCTAAATTTACGGAAAACTTTAGAAAGCTGAGGTCACAGCGCCGCACTACAGTCCACACGTGCTTTCTGATACGAGACCACATTTAACGCTCACTCACCCTCGGAGGTTTGGTAACAAGCACGCGTGAGGTTGCCTGAGGGCAAACCCTCTCTGAGGACAGTCCTCGGGGCGCACAGAGGCCCGCGGGGCAGTGGTCTGCTCGCTGCCCGGCAGCGCTGGGACCCAGCGGGCCTGCGCGCCTCGCCATCGCCTGGAAGTGCGGCCCCGCAGCTGGCTTCCAGCTGGACAGGCGCCGGGCGGACGTCCAGGGAATGGGATCCAGGGCGGATAGGGATCCCGGACGAACGGGGATCCGGGGAGGGACGGGGATCGGTCCGGAGCGGATGGGAAGCTGGGGACGGCTGCGGAACCCGGGTGTATGAAAATCCGGGGTGGATGCGAATCCCAGGAAGGAGAGGAATCCGGGGACGGAGGGGGACCCTGGGTGGATGCGGATCCAGGGACGGATACGGGTCTGGGGTTCTGGCGGGAGGGAAGCAGGGCTCCCCACGCCGTGCGTGCGCCCCAGGGCGCGAGGACCGCGGGGCTGAGGGAAGGGGAAGGGCAAGCTCTGCGCCTGAAAGCCAGGGCGCTCAAAGCCCCTTCACCCGCTTCGAACCGGAAGAGAGGGTGTCACATCTTAACCCGTGCGTGCCTTCCCCGCCCCGAGGCCGGCCGTCCAGACCCCGGGCACTTCCCGCCGACTCCAGCCCGCGGCCGTCATCGCAGGGGCGGCCCTCCAGCTCGGCGGCCCTCCCCGGCCCTGCCCGCGCGACGTCCCCTCCCCGGGCGGAGGCTCGCCGGCCGCCGCCCCCTCCCAGCCTCGCCCGCCCGGGGTCCCGGCGCCGACTCACGCGAGCTGGACTGGACGCGGCGGCGAGACGGAGGGCGCCGGAGCGGCGTCAGCGGGAGCGCGCCGGCCGGGACACGGCGCCGCGCCGAGGGGGCCGCCCGCCGCGGGGGGCGCTCGGGGCCGAGGCACTTCCGGGCCGCTCTAGGACCCCGCGGCTCGCGCCTCGCCTCCTGCCTCCCGCCTCCCGCGGCGGCGCACGTGGTTGGGACTGTGGGCGCGGGGACGCCCCGCGCAGGTTTTCAATTGAAGCGCAGGAACCCTAGGTCATTAACTGGACGATGTTTTTAAACATTTTTTTTTTTTAATAAAAAGAATAAGTTACCTCTGGTTTTTAAAAAAACCTCAGGCAATGCCAAAATTAATAAAGTAAAAGGCGAAATCCCATCCTGTCACTAAGGTCCCACGACCCGGGGATCGCCATTGTCACGGTTCGCTGGGGGATTTGCGAGTATAATTCTGTCCCATCTCTTTTACGTACATTCTCTGGGGATTTGCAAGTATAATTCTGATATCTCTCACGAACAGATACACAGGACAGGCGCTAAGCTATTTTATATTTAGCTTTTTCTCCACTTATTTTAACGGCACTTCACATATCTTAGACCTCTTTATTGGTCATGTAGGTCCAACTCATTTGGTGGCTGAGTAATAGTACCTCAAGCACATGTACTTCCATTTATCTGTCCAGGCCCTATGTATTGATAGACTTACCTTCTTCCTTCTTTCCTCCCCCTTCGCTGTCTCCCTCCTTCCCTCCCTCCCTTTTGTCCTTCTGCCCACCATGTCGGTATTGACTTGATGAAAGCTTTGCTCACACCAACCCTAACTTAGTTGGCATTGAAATGAAGTGGGTTTTCCTTCAAGTCTGTACTTTCTTTTTTATTTTTAATTTATTAATTTTTGAGAGAGAATGAGTGGAGGAGGGGAAAAGAAAGAAAGATAGAGAATCCCAAGTAGAATCCTAGTTGTCGTGGGGGTTTAAACTCATGAACTGGGAGATCAAGATCTGAGCCAAAACCTGGAGCCAGGCAGGAATCTAACCACTGGGCCACTCAGAAGCATCTATCCCTACATGTGTACTTTCAACTAGGTCCTTCTGAATCCTTCTTTCCTGTCCTTTAATGATAGTTTGGGCAGACCGCATAGCTTTCTGGTCAATTTTAAGTATTAGAGATCCCATCCAGAGGTGCCTGGCTGGCTCAGCAGTTAGAACATATGACTTTTGATTTGGGGGTTGTGAGTTTGAGCCCTACCCTGGGTGTAGAGATTACTTAAATATATTTTTAAAAAAAGATCCCATCCAGTTAAAATTTTTAATGTTCATTCATTTTTGAGAGAGACACAAACGCAGAGTGAAAGTGGGGGAGGGGCAGAGAGAGAGGGAAACAGAATCCCAAGCAGGCTCCAGGCTCTGCGCGTCAGCACAGAGCCCTACAGGGGGTCAGACTCACAAACCAGGAGATGGTGACCTGAGCCCAAGTCAGATGCTTAGCCTCCTGAGCCACCCAGGTGCCCCCCATTCAATTTATTTTTCATTTGAAAATTTATTATCTATTGAATAAGCTATATAGCAACAGACTCAAAATATAAGTAGTATAAAAGGGCAAACGTTGAAAAATCTCTTTCTGGAAGGCACTTGTGATGAGCACTGGGTGTTGTAGATAAGTGATGAATCATTAAATTCTACTCAAACTAATATTATAACATATGTTAACTAACTAGAATTTAAGTAAAAACTTGAAACATTAAAAAAAAGAAAAAGAAAAAATCTCTGCGATTTTTTTTCTTCTGTTGAGCTTGATAATGATATTGTAGTTCCATAGGAAAATGTCCTTATATTTTAGAGATGGGTACTGAAGTATTCAAAGGTGTTAAGTGTAATAATGTCCATAATTTACTTCGAAATACTTCAGCAGAGGGAGAAAAAGTAAATCTGGCAAAAATGAACAACTGTAAATGTAGGTAAGTATATGGTGTTCGTTATACATAAACATGTAACCCCTTGGGAGTAACTGTGTTTCCGAATTCAGATTTTCAGAAGCCTGTATTTGCCCCAGATGACCGATGCCTTAGGAGGAAACACCCTCAGCGGCTTCTCCTTTGCCAAATAAGCGCATGCAGGTGCCCAGCTCCGGAGCCAGGGCCGCCAACCCCGTGAGGGTCTCGCCTCCAGGAGCGCGGAGCCCAGAGGCAAACGCGGCGGCGGGCGGCGAGCACAGGGGTGCCCAGCAGGCAGAGACACTGTCCCCGCAACCCCCGACCAGCGTCCCCACCAACACACCAGGCTTTCTGCGCCCCCACGCGCAGCCCTCCACGTCCCGGGGGACAAAGCGCCTCCCAGGGGTCGCGTGGCCGGAACCTGGGCAGCAGTGCGAGCGGGCGCCCCTCGCGGTGCTGGAGGCGCGACAGATGAGGACCAGCTTGCAAACGCTGCCGAAGGCCGGTGACCCGCCCCCCCGGATCCGCGGGGCGCCGCCGGGGTGGGTGCTGGTTGTGGAGTCCCTGAACCCAGGTCCCCTGTCCAGCTGCTCCTGGAGGGCAGCCGGGCCATCGCCACCCGGGGGCCTTCTGTCCCCTGGTAGGAAAGGAGGGAGGGCCGCCCTCCCTGCAGCACTGCGGGGCCCCGGGCAGAGCAGCGGCCTCACTGGTGTCCCCGCGGCTCCTGGACGGGCTGCCTCGGAGTTCGAGCTCGGCCCCTTCCCCCTCGAGTCCCTGGGCCACTCCGGGCCTTCCTTCCGCGGGGGCTGGGAGGGCACGAGCCGGGGCTGCCGCGGGGGCGCAGGCCGCCTCCACTCCTGCGGCTGCCAGAGTCTGCAAGGACAGGTGTATCAACAGCAGCTAGGATTTGCCCCAGAGGGAAATGAAGATTCGCCAATGTTAAGAGTTTACAGAATTGTATGGATTTTTCAAACTGAGCAAGGGATCCTGAATATATACTAGTCTGTCTGTCTTTCTCTTTCTTTCTTTCTTTCTTTCTTTCTTTCTTTCTTTCTTTCTTTCTTTCTTTCTTTCTTTCTTTCTTTCTTTCTTTTGTATATTTAAACATTTAAAAATAGTTTTTTCAAAATAAAAAGATTTTTAAGTAAAGCTCTTCATGGTACTCCCATCCTCAGCCACCTAATAGAAACAGTCAAAACTTTTGATTTCTTATGTAGACTTTTGGAGATATTTTATGCATGTAGAAACATATGTTTATACATAACATATCCCCATTATTTTTACATGAATAGTGCAAAAATCACACATACTGTTCCTTATTTTGCTTGCTTAATTTAACATCTTAGAGTTTCCCCCATAGCCATACACATAGATCTCTCTTTTCATTTTTGACAGTTGCAAACTATTCCATTACACAGATTTATTTATCTAGTCCTCTACTGATGACCAATGAGGTCATTTCTGATCATTTGCTATTTATAAATAACGCTGAATTAGTTTCCTACATACAACATCTTACACGTGAATATATTTCTAGAACAAATTCCTAAAAGTTGAGTTCCCGAGTCAAAGAATATACATTTACAAAACTGCTCTCTAAAGTAGTTATAAACTATACCTGAAACTATGTTAACTACACTGAAATTAAACCTTTTCAATAAGTAAAATGTAAAAAATAAGAGTTATAAAAAATCTGCAACTCTCCAGGGACACATGGGTGGCTTAGTCAGTTAAGTGTCTAACTTTGGCTCAGGTCATGACCTTGCAGCTCATGGGTTCCAGCCCTGTGTCAGGCTCTGTGCTGACAGCTTGGAGCCTGGAGCCTGCTTTCGATTTTGTGTATCCCTCTCTGCCCCTACCCTGCTCGTGCTCTCTGTCTCAAAATAAATAAAAATTGAAACAAAATTTTTAAAAAAACCCTACACATCTCTGACAATATCTAAATGTGATGCCACCCCAAATCTTCACCAAAGTTTTTTTATCTTTGCCAAACTGATGGATAAAAAATGGTATATTTTGTAGTGTCATTTAGCATTTTATAATTAATATTCATGTATAAATTAATTACACTTTTCCCTTCTTGTGGTTTTATCTTTTGACATGTATAATCATCATATATTAAAGAAATTATGCCTTTGTGATAATTTGGAATTTTTCCTTTCTACTTTCTTTATGGTGGCTTTAGTTTTACAGAAATTTTTTAATTTTTTGGTTAAATTTACTAATCTTGTATGTTTTCTGTAATAAGAAAGGCCTTCCTTATGCCATGACTGTAAAAGAAAATTCTGTAGTTTTCTTTAGTACTTTTACAGTTTTATTTTTTTCCTACTTAAATTTTGAATCACTTGGAAATGATCCAGTTGTAAGACGTGAGGTGTGGATTACAGTCTCTCTCTTTTTTTTTTTTTCTCAGATTTTTACATAGATGTCCCAGTACCATTTCTTGAATGATCCGTCCTTTCTCTAGTAACCTGAAATGACATTTTTGTCAAATGCTTAAATATTTGTGCCCACTTCTGGATTTCCTATCCTGTTTATACGACAATGCATTATTCATTGTAGCTTGTAATATGTTTGAAAATCCTGGAGGCCTGTGTTTTCCTTATTATTCTTTTCTGAATTTTCCTGGCTACTAATGCTTGTTTATTTTTCACATGAACTGGAAAGCAATTACCCAGTTTGAAAACAAAATTCTATGTTAACTTTGTTGGCATTATATTAAATACCTAGACTAACACGTAGAGAAAATTGATTTTCCTTTCTCCCCATATCTTTGGTCAGTCAACACTATGTGAAGTTCTTTCTTTTAACGTTTATTTATTTTGGGAGAGACAGAGCATGGGATGGGCAATGAGAAAGAATCCAAAGCAGGCTCTGCGCAGAGCCCAATGCGAGGCGTGAACCCAGGAGCTGTGAGATCATGACCTGGGCCGAGCTCAAGAGTCAGTGGTTTAACCCACTGAGCCACACAGGCGCCCTTGCGGTCTGCATTTTAAATGGCAATAAATCAGTAACACTCCAGGTTGCCCTCCCAAGGGCAATTCCCTCTCCCACCCGGCGTGTGTGACAGCGACTTCAAGCCGGACCCCAGGCCACCTGTCCGCCGCCTGTCTCCTCCTCCACCTGCGCTCCAGTCCCTGCTGAGCCCAAAGGCGGCTCCAGACGGACGTTCCGCTTCTGCCTCCGGCGGGAGCCGCGCAGCGCGCGTCACCAACTAGGACCCGGGTGCGCGCTCCGCGTGCGCGGCGCTGACTCCGTCTCAGGGAGCGACAACGTCGTCTCTGAGCCCCCAGTGCGCCCCCGAGAGACTGTGGGGGGGCACCTGGCCAGGGACCCGAGGGCCCCCGGACCCCGGCCTACCGGCACCCCGTTGGCGTGCACGCGTCGGAAACAGGCCCACCTGCAGCCCGCCTGCCGCGCACGCCGCCCGCGGCCCGGGCAGGGGCGGGAAGGGGCTTTCTCTTTCCCCGCGGCCTGCTGATG